GTCGAGTTCCAAAGCAGAAAAAGAAGCAAACTAGACGAAAGAGCAGAAAAAAGGAGTTCTTGTTGGATATAGTGACCGTACTAAAGGATATAGAATTTACATGCCACATGCAAACAACGTCGTGATCAGAAGAAGCGTAATATTCGATGAAAACAAAAAAGAGAAATGAAACTCCTTGTCAATTAAACGATCAGCATGAGGAAATAGAATGGCCTTTTAAAGAAAATAAATTGACAGAACCACGTCCAAATGATATTACAGAGGAAGTAATTGAAACAGAAGAAATCCCCCTATTACCGAGAAGATCCCACAGAACGACTAAAGGAATCCCACCAAAAAGATTCTCATACATGGCTAAGAATGAAGAAATCAAAGTTCCTAAAGACTGGGAAGAACTTCAAACTTTTCCTACTAAAGAAAAGGAACTGTGGCTAAAATCTTCGAAAGAAGAAATGGAAGCACTGAAGAGGAACGAAACATGGGAACTAGTCGATCTTCCAAAAGGAAAGAAAGTAATTGGAAACAAATGGACATTTAAAACAAAATCCGACGCTTCAGGAAAATATTATCAGATATAAAGCTCGTTTAGTAGCTAAAGGATATTGCCAAAAATTTGGACACGACTACGACGAAACATTTGCACCAGTCGTAAAGTATACAACAATAAGGACTATTTTGGCAATAGCAGCTCAAAAGAAAATGCACGTAAATCACTTCGATGTAAAAACAGCTTTTCTATATGGAGATATATATATGAAGCAACCAGAAGGCTACATCTCTGCTTCAGAAGCAAATAAAGTCTGTAAACTGAATAAAAGTATCTACGAACTAAAACAGGCAGCCAGAAACTGGAATCACAAGATAGCTGAAATCCTGCGCAAACAAGGATACGTTCAAGAAAAGGCTGATCCATGTTCCTTCACACTAATCGAGAAAAACGCAAGAACTTACATAATCGTTTACGTTGAAGACATATTAGTCGCGAGCGACAAGTGTGAATCAATTCAAGAAGTTGAACGAATTCTCAAAGAATATTTCGACATTCGAAATCTTGGAGAAGTGTCTACATATCTAGGAATTGAAATCGAAAGAGAAAAAGACGGAAGCTTTAAACTTCATCAAGCTAACAAGATTAAGAGTATGATCGAAAAATTCGACGGAGAGTCACCATAGAAAAAATAAGCTATACACCCATGACTACGAATTTTACGAAGAACCAAAACAACCAGGATGACGTTTTTCCCGATAATCGGAAGTATAGGGAAGCAGTGGGAGCACTTTTATATTTAGCAACAGTATCAAGACCTGACATAGCAAATTCTGTTGGAATACTTAGCAGAAAAGTAGAAAATCCATCAACATGGGACTGGAACGGTATCATTAAAATCATACGATATTTGAGAGCGACAATTAATTACAAATTACATCTAAAATCCAATGGTGCACCAGTCATCAAAGCTTACAGTGACGCTGATTGGGCAGGAGATACCTCTGACAGAAAATCCACATCCGGATATATATTTCAAATAGGAAACAGTACGTTATCATGGGGAAGCAAGAAACAAAACTGTGTCGCCCTATCTTCGACAGAAGCCGAATACATCGCTCTAGCCTTAACATTGCAGGAGCTACAATGGATTAGACAACTGATGGGAGATTTAGGTTTCGCTCAACAGGAAGCTAACATCGTATTCGAGGACAATATACGAGTATCATGCATAAATCTTTCCAGAAAAGAGAAAGGAAGCAGTTACACCAAACACATCGATGTGAAATATCACTACGTATGTGATCTACAAAATCAAGGGATTGTTAAATTAATACACTGCAACAGTAAAATGATGTATGCAGACATGTTCACGAAACCTTTGCCCAGACAACAGCTGGAATTTCTATTGAAAGGAATCGGGCTTACTTCGACAGAACAGTTCATCGAGTGGGAGATTGTGAAGCAATTCATAATGAACGCGATGTAATTACACTCCGACGTTAATTCCCCCCGTTACCCCCCCCGCTAACTGTGATTGGATTGATCCAAAAAAAAAAAAAAAAAAAAAAAAAGAGGAGAACATTCTCTCCTGTATGACTCACTTCTCGCGTTATGCAATGGACAGTAAACAACGCTTGTAATCATCGCTATATATTTTTTTTTTCATATACCTAATAAATATGTTATTTTGCGTTTGCTAAAATAATGATCGTGTTCCTTACCTCCGCAGCTTGGATTACACTTTATTAAGGTAAGAACTTTAATTCTGTTTTTATTCATCTGCTCGTCTCGATTTAGCGAAGTTGTAAGAGTAAACAAAAATGAACCACGAATACCTTCAACATTTAGTTACCTTCTGAACACCCGTGATGTTTCGTGAAGTTCCCCCTGCCGCGTCCAAGAAGCCTTTCGTTAATATACAAGTAGGAGTAATGATTCTTGTGTATTTGTTTTTTAAGTTGCAGTTGTTATTCCAGATGTACTGAAACGCAAAACTGAGTTCTGTTGCCAGTGACTGAAGAATAATCGTCCCATTGTTAAAATAATAAGCTGGTATTTCTCCTCTCCCCCGTTTCTTACAGTTATTCATATAATCCTCACAAACGGGAGTTTTGCCGTTAATCAAAGAACCCTCACAAACGAGATTTACTCTTTCTTGAGAAAACTGAAAATATATTCGAAAAGATTGGCATGCCTTTGGTAAGCTCACATCGAGCTTAATGAAACAATGATTCTGATTCACTATCCCATTTATACTTGATGCATGACATGTAAATTTTGTCCCGTTTCTTCATATGTTGATGGCAAGACAAGAAAATTTCAAGCTTTTGGTTGCTCATTAAATAATTAATTGGAAATGAGCTGATGGTGCAGTGTTGAAGCGTAATGTTTATATTTTAATAAATTTCACATCTTTCTTTCAAGTGTCACGAAATTTGTTTTTTATCTGTACGTTTATTCTTTTATACTGCATGAACTCTGCGTCATCATCAATGTTTAAGTTTTCAGACTATCACTGCTCCCGTCCCTCGGAAAATTTCCCAAATTCCCATCTCTGGCCCTGAATTTAACGTATTATTAACATTCCCATATTACATTTTTTCATTAACTTAATTTTCATAATATAATTATTAATTTATTATTATTTCTATTTAAATTTATTTTACATTAATTAATAATATTAATGTATCTTTTATTTAATTTTTATATCTCTTTATTTTGATTTTATTTATTATTATTTTGTACAAACTATTTTTTTATTCATCATTCCTAATGGCGTAACATAGGATTCTGGAACTTCTAATTTTAGGAATTAAGCTCCGTAAGTAAGCATTAAATATACGCATCGCAGTGAATTTGCAACATATAATAAAGCATTTTATCACAGAAATCTATCAAATGACGTTTTAAATATTACTATAAAAGTGTGTTAATTAGAATTATGTCCACCAGATGACGACGCACCTTAGAATCCTGACTGATTTTGAAACATCGGTGTTCAAAATAAGATTTGTATTAACTTGTTGAAAACATAACATGAAGAAATACGAACTCTAGATTAAGTGATATTCATGCAGAATGGAGCATCCTTCCTATACTGCTTTTCTTCTACTGTCTGTCAACTTGTGAAGTAGATGAAGTGCTAATAAGCCTTTACTTTCAGTACAGATGTTATCCAAATTTCCAAATCCTGCTATTTTTAGTGTGCAGCTCTTTGAAGTTGCAGCCGTGCACAGATGATACAATATAACTAACAATATCAAGACACAATGCTACAGCGTGTATCGATGATGAATATATTGTAGAGTCATTAGGACTTTTTTAGAAGCAAGAGAGATTGAAAAATATGCAACGCCTTCACCGGGAATCGAACCACGGGCCTCTGGAACACGCGCCCAACGTGCAGACCACCACACCACGAAGGCACGCCAAGAAGGTGGGAGAAATACGTATATACTCGCCCTTTTAAAGGGCGACTGGGGTTTCTAGGGGACCCAATCGCCAAATCCTGGTTGTGGAGGGTCATCATCCACCACCCTTTTAGTTTGGGCTCCACTGTAAGGTCAGGATTTTTTGGGAAGCAAGAGAGATTGAAAAATATGCAACGCCTTTGCCGGGAATCGAACCCACGGACCTCTGAAATACGCGCCCAGCGTGCAGATCACCACACCACGAAGGCACGCCAAGAAGATGGGAGAAATACCTTATAATATTATATACGTAATGCGAAATATATATTTAATACAAAAGCTCGCATCCAATAGTGCTCAATAATGATGCCTACTCCATTCAGCATTTATTATTAGGCACTCCCTCTCTACCCAAGATCCCAAGGTTAATGAACGTAACTGTAATTAAAAATTTGTTCATAGTTCAGTTTTCATTGCTCCTTAAAAGTCAAAATTTTATGCATTTCTGCGCTAACTCAGTTATTTTACTTTATAAACTCTCTAAAATATTACTTTTAAAATTTTATTGGCTTTTAGACCCTGTTACAGAAAACTTTCTCCCCGATTTGCTTCCTCGTATCTGAGAAATGCAACTTTGACTTTTGCTGTCGTATTCCCATCCAGCATAATTATGCGGCCCACCCACTGGCTGAATGCTAAAATCGCTGAGCATTTGTAGTTCGATCTGGACTTAAAATCCCAACAAACGGAGTAACTGCATGGAAGTTTCCACTTTTTTTTTTTTTTTTTTTTTTTTTTTTTTTTGTAACGTGAATATAAGCCAGTTTCTCCTAAAATGTCCGTTACAAAGACATTTCACGCCTTTGCATATAGCTCTAGTGTGCTTTACTGTAATTCAAATAATCCAATCCAATCCAATTTAATTGTGCACATTTCGATAGAAATCGGTATGGCCAAAGTCACACGCTCGCCTTGTTAAGAGCTTTGAGGAACAATTGATAACTGTGATTTTCAGGAACAGTAAAGCTTTTTTGCTAATAATTTTAATGTTACTTTTCTATTTTTCTTACTTTAATAATTACTTATTTCACTTTTTTCAGGAGAGTTTAGATAGCAAAATACCAAAGCACGTTCATGAACATGGAGTTGACTTTATAAAGGTGCGTTTCCTTATTGCCTATTATTAAATAAAAAATTTAAGATGTAAACTTATGTTAATTGTATATGACCAAAAAATAACTATGCGATAATATGCGATAAATCAGTTTAACTATCACATTTGTTTTGCCTTTAAAATACTAAATAAGAACGGAAAGTCAGCAGTTATTTATTAAAAAAAAGGTGTTTCCCCAAGTATTAGTGTTGTTTCAACTAATTTATAAATCGATACAGAATTTGATTTCAATCGATTACTTGATTTAATAACTTATACCTTCTGTTTCTCTTTCAGAGATGTCTGGACAAAGATCCTCAAAAACGGTATACGTGTGAGCAGTTGCTGAGGCATCCTTTCTTTGATAATTTCAAAATGCCAGACTTGGATAACTCAGATGAAACACAAAGGAGTAAAAGAGAAAAATCAAAGGTCTCTTAACTCTTTTAAATATGAATAATAAAATTAGAAATACTATAGAATCTAACCAGACAACTAATTTTCATACTAATTGTAAAAGCGAAACCAAACGTATAGAAATTGAATTTTAAAAGTTTTATTGGAAGTCAATTTCAAAATTTAGCCAGCTAAATTTTGAAAATGATCTCGATTTATCATTGAAAGAATTGCTAGGGGTTAAATATTCAATTCAAACAACAGAGCTCTGTTTAATTATGGAAAATTATAATTTTTATACGGAATATATAACATTCCTCATTTTTCCATGGGAGGAAAAAAAAGGAAGAACAAAGTTATGAAAAACAGCAACTTTAAAAAAAAAATAAAGGCTTGTTAGGCACTCAATGAGGATGAATAAATATAGTAGAAAGTTTAGGAAAATGTAGAGTGTTATAAAAATCTAATTCACAAAATCTGAGAAGTAAATTAAGTTAAAATTTCAAGACCTGCAGATGAGGAAGTTCTACAATAAGCCACTTGACAAGGACTTCTATTATGATATGAGAATACCAAAAGTAAATTAAACAAAAGTTATTTTCTTTTTCACAGAATTTCAATATGCTTTTATTCCTTTTGATTCGAAAAAATATTAAATTCACTTTAGTCTGATTTTCAGTAACATATATTGTATAATAACTTCCGAAGAAGAGCAAGGTAATACTATCGCAATTTGCTGCTGTACCAAGAAAAGAAAAACAATTTTCATCTCTATTGCCCATCTAAAATTTCCCATAGAAATCAATTTTTAAATAAAGGCTGTAAACGAAAAGGATATTTTTCATACAAAGTTTTATTTTCATTTATTAATTGTTTCTCAGCGAAACTTTTGCTGTACGTAACTGCTGAATGGTTTTGGCAGCAGTAAACTGAAATCAAAAAGATGCGTAATGGTCTCTACGAGTATAATAATGTAAAGAGCTTTTTATTTGTATGGAGACTAATTTAAAAGGTTGATCCAGTGGTTTTTAATTTAATACGCACTCTTCTGCAAAAAATAAAAAAGACAGCTCACACTTCAGTGAAACTGCTGTTCGAAAATTCGAAAAAAGGTAATTGTTTTTAAATGAAACAGTCAATTTTCCCCACTTTTACAGAGAAAATAATACAAGAATAAAGACAGTGATATTAAATTAGCTTTAAATATCTGAATTAATTCATCAGATCCGAACTGGCTTATGTGACATTTTGTTTATATAGGAATGGGATATTAGAATATTCCAAAAGATTTGAACATCCAGAATTCGAATATTAGCTTTTTTCATAATTCTAGTCCTAACCTAAGATATCGTTAAACGTTTTAACTCAAAATTTTAGAAGGATTAGTTTTATTGACTTCCAATAGAAGCGTTCATTATGTAATAACGGGACTGTGCAATTTCAATGACATCTGAATTACTAATATCGTCTCTTGATGGCCCTGATTGCTATTCCGTTTCAGTATGGCATCTTGTTCCGTTTCATCTTTGCGTATAACAAAATTTAGCAGAGTTTTCAAGTAATCAATACGTTGTGTTTTCTCGAATCGTTTCGATAGCTGTGTATATATGTAGATAGCCTATTGCAAATATCTCCTGTATCCTCCTTTTCAAGTAATCAATACGTTGTGTTTTCTCGAATCGTTTCGATAGCTGTGTATATATGTAGATAGCCTATTGCAAATATCTCCTGTATGCTTCTAGGAACTCAAGCTATGGGTACATAAACATTGCACACAAGCATGACTCCAGCTATTTGATAGATGAAATATTCAGATATGGTTGTTCAACTGATGAATCGAACTTGGATTTTCTTTAATGAGACATGACTGTTGATTCAGCCATGTCTCATTAATATCCATTCATGACTGTTGTTTCAGCCATGTCCCATCCCTGTCTACCGGTTTCCCGGATTGCATTTAACACCTTAAATGTTAATCTTTTGTATGAAATTACTTCCCATGGTTTATATGCAAAAGCACTTTCGCTGAATCCATATATTTTATACCTGTATATCTAAGTAAGCAAAGATTATTAAATTATCTCGAGAAATTTTAACTTCTGTATTCAAGAGTTTAATAACATGTCTTATTTACTAATTTCATTTTTAATAAATATAGGCATATTTATATTTGCTTTTTGTTAAAATGAGTCCAGATTACAATTTTGTTTTACTTAGTAACTTTTTATTCTAAGTAATTTTTTTCCTTTCTTGACTTAATATTATTCTTAGCTGAAAAATTCGGGGAATTTGAGATTAGAAAGATTCGGGAATTTTTCAGAATTTAGATACGGATTAAAATAATTTTGAGTTTATCCTACCTCTAGTTGTTTTCTCAATACAAATTAAAACCAAGTATATTTGAAGCGCAGCTCAACAAGATGCGCCAGAAGCGCATCGTATAGCCTAGGTAATATGTAGGTCATTTAAAAAATAATACAAAAAGTAAGAATACTGCAAACTGGTCAATGTAATAGGAAGGAAGCTCCCCTCGCCCAATATCCTCATTGTTATGAAACCTCCGGTTAGAACAAAAAAAAATGGTTTCATTAGCTGAGCGTAATTGAATGAGAGAACAGACACAGGAGGATCAACCAAATAGAAGATGATTCACATTAGTATTTCTGCCAAAATTTCTCACAGAAGATGTACTGCATTGTTAAGAGTATGAATAAACTCCATTTGACGATAGCACATGTCATTGGCTATTTCAAAATTTCTGTGATGACGACAGATGGTGCACTGATCACTCTCGTTCTGGACGTTCATTAGTGATTTCTGACGAAGCTGTGTACCAAGCTATACAAATGAACAGTATTCAGTCCGTGCACTAGCAGAAAGGTTGTTGGTACTCAGAGCAGCATCCTAACGACGGAAGCAGGTATCTAGATTCATCACGTTGTTCGATCAGTTGGTTCTCTAGCAGCTTCTTACAAAGAAACGATCGAAGATAGCTGGTGCCTATGATTATTGCCTTTCTCATTAATGAAATGAACCATTTTCTGAATAAATTATTACGGAAGCTTAGAAATTGCTACCATAGCATAAATTCTATTAAAGGGCAAGAAACTATTCTAATGGGTTGCAATTAAATGATAAATGCTGATCTCATATGTCTCATTGAGACTGACATACTGAAAGGAGAATTCATATTTAAGTGCTTACCACTGGTGTTATCTTTAATCATGATAAAACGAGACCTCGTGCCGCCTTATACACTCGGCAAAAATTTCTTGACATTGGTTGATGTTTTAACCTTCCCAAAGTAGTCCTCTAACTTTACGTTTGCAAAATACCATCTCATTCAACGGTACAAAACTCCTTCACTCTCCAAATCTTTGATCATATTTAGGATATGGAAACACCATCACAAGACCTTTTTTGCTCTACAGTAGAGAAATTTTATCAGTGTGGGAGAAACTTACTACTACGCAGATGGTGAGAGGTCATATACAAAATTATGACAGTTATATAAAATTATTGCTGGTTTGCATTTTGTGTTCTCTGTCTTTCTTTTTATACTGAAAAGGGTTGAATTTCAGTACATACACATAATATTTCAAAGAGCTATATAAGTCAAGTTTCTACAGGTTATGGTCAAATTTTATTACAAACTTTCAGTCAGCGGTGAAATCAACGTCAGTTCATCACAATCGAAGAAATGATAAGAGTAAAGTAAATGATAATATCTGCCTAAGATTACCAAGATATCACCATATAAGATTAAATTTCTGTATGGGAATATGTGAAAGCAACATATTATTGTTAGAGGGTCCGAAAATTGTGCAAAAAATTGCACAAAAAGGGCATGGAGAATTCATTCATTTTGAGGGCCTAATGCACAGCTTTAGATAGGAAGGTTGTAACAGTTCTGCTGACCAAGCAGGAGTACCAAGTTTCACCTTACCCACCATAAAGAATACATAAGAGTGGGCCAAACTTCTAATTCTTCCACCAATTGAAAGGTCTTCTGTGTAGACGGCATCTTAATGGTTATCGAAGTCATACGGAACTGGGTAAAAGTATCCTGCTAGGAATAAAGAAACTTTCGAGACACTAGATCATTAATAATGAGAAATAGGGGGACTACATAGGAGGAATGTAAGGAGAAACTAACTAAAAAAGAAAATATTAGAATGCATTATTTTTAGATGCTTCCTATCTGGTTTGCGGCGCCCCGATAGAAATTACCAGCTCTAAATGGGATATGGTAATGGCAATACCTAGCAGAAGTGGAATTATTTGCTGTTTTAGTTATTAGACTGGCAATAGCACACAGAGGAAACCAATTAAATTAAATCGCACAATGTTATTTAAAAGAATTAAATCAATGATTTTTAAAAATGCTAACTTTCGAATGATTTCTGTTTCAAAGTACCATTATGTATCAAAAATAAGCTAATGTTTATTACAAGCAAGTCATATGTGGCTCAGGAGCCGCAGTTAACCAGCCACATAGCCATCTAGCCGCAATTTGGCCATGCTTGAACAAACGCTTAACAGCTGCTAATTGTGGGAAACGAAGAAAAAATGTTTCCATCAAATTAAAATATTAAATATAAAATAAAACGCTTATAAATTAACTTTAGCTCGGTCTTAAATATTCATAAAGCAAATTTGGTTATCGAAGTTAAAGCCTGTAGAAATTCTCCCTTTTATCTATTAACTAAGCATGCAGGAACCTAGTGAACTACTAAGCGAATAATCGCTCAAGTCCAAAAACAAAAACGTAGACTCAAAAAAGGTTAATTAGCCTTTGTTACTCAAAATAAAGATGTACAGATGATCCCTTTCTCAGGACGTACAACAAAGCCTCCACTTGGGCTTAAGCTCAATGTAAGAAATAAGAACTTAACTAATGACTCACTAAAGAGATTTAGCCGAAGCTAACACATTTTCTAAACTAGTTGGCCCCTAATATTAAATTAGCTAGCGAAGCTATCAAGGGGCACGTAATACGACCGAGCGTAGTAACAGTTTAGAGAGACGTAGCCAAAAGGCAAACGCGCGCTATTCAGGAAATCTAATTCTCTGTGAGAAGTCAGTAAACTTTAAGTACTCTCTATTTCTCATTTGCATTTAACGATATTCTAAAAACTCGTTTTGGTAAGGAATTGTAAGCTAATTCTAGAGAGACAGGAAAGG